CTGGACATGAAATGGTATGAACACTTTTTGAAATATTTGAAAATATTTGAAAAGTAGTGAATTTGATTTAATGATTATTTTGAAAATTATTGGAGGTGTTTTTCAATTTGAAATTTCCAGAATTTATATGAGTCAAAACACCATTTCAAAAAGGTATAATTAAGTATGAATCAAATAATGAAAAGGTATAACAATCAAACAAGATTTGAATTTTAAAAGAAACAATTTTTCAAAATTCGTTCAGTGTTAATCCGTTAACCATATAGGTTAATCGGTTAACACTGGAACGTTAGCCCTGAGAATTTAAAATTTGAGGCCGTTAACCGATTAACCCATATGGTTAATCGGTTAACACTGTTAAAACTCAGAAAAATACTTGAGTTAAAAGTGTTATACCAGTTCCAAATGATTTTAAAACCATGCAAATGCAAACTGTTAATCTGATAAATTATTTGAACACTTGTATATCAATTAAAGGAGTGAATATTGATATACCAAAGCTTTGAGTCCAAGTCTTGAAAGTTGTATGATCATTTGCACATGAAGCTTGATTTGCATGACAACATTCCATAGTCTTGTTCTTGATCAATTTTGAAAGCTTGACTTTTTGAAAACATGGAATGAACTTAAGTCTTGGTGACATCATCAAAACCTTGAGATTGAAGTATGCTTCTACAGTTTGCACTCCTCATTTAAAACCTACCCAATGACACTTCTGCCTAGAGACACTCTAGACCTGAGTATACCCACTCACTCCCCCTCAATCACCTCAGTGATATCAACACACAATTACAAAACTAATATGAAGATAAACTTCAAACACACCTTGATCTTGCTTCACAACTTTGATCAAGGAACACACACACTCTTGCTTAATAGCTTTGAGTGATACAATGAACTCACTTGTTCATACACAATAACTAGAGCAATTGTACAACATACAATTGCTTGGCACACAAGGAATCCTAAGATTCCTAGACTCACCTGAAGAACAAAGTTCTTCACTTACAAATACACACATGAAGAGCAAAACTCTTCACTCACAAAGGCCACTTAGCATGCACTCTCTAATCTTCTGTCAAGAGCTGCTCTTCTAGAATTGCTCCTTCTGTTATTTATAGCAGCAGTCAGTCCTTGGGCCTTGGTGCAGAAATTAGGTTTACCCAAACCTCTCTTCAAAAAGCTGCACTTACCACTTAGGTCAGGTACATTTAATTTCGCCAGGGCTTCTAAAATATTTCCTGACTTCCAGCTTGAACTTCTATAATGTTTCCTGAATTCTAGCCTGAGCTTCCTCATTCTGAATAACAGAAAACTAAACCTACGCACCTGATGTCATACGATCAGTGTCATGAAATTCAGTATGACATCCAACTCAACTTACTACTTACCCTGCATATTGTGTGTCACATCATCAGGTATGACATCCATACACACTCTAATGTTTTGCCATAAAATGCAGCCAATCAGAAGCACTTACACTAACATTTTACAAGCATATGGAGGACCCTGCTTTAATTCAACAACATTTATCTCGTTCTCGTTGAAATACAATGGTTCATCATGTAAACCCTCGATATTCTCATTATATTCGACATAATCTACCTTCTTACTCTTATTAAATTTAGATTTTCGTCTTTCAGACGCTCTAGCTGTCGAACTCTATCAGCTAGTTGGGTCGTATCTCTCAGATATTGGGTATCCAATTTCTTTCTAATAGAGTAATCAAGGCCACCAGGGGCCATTTCGACTAACTCATATTCAGGTACTTGAGTAAAACACCTAGCCTTAAGTAGTCTGAATCTATTTAGGTAATCTTCTATTGGCTCAAAAAACTTTCGTTTTATGCTAGCCAATTCCTTCAAACTAACCTTAGTCTGTACCATATAGATTTATTCATGGAATAAACATTCCAACTGGGTCCAATTACAGATTGAGTTAGGGGGTAGGGTTGTAAACCAGGTGAAAGCATTTTTAGTGAGAGAGCTTGGAAAGTATTTAATCCTAAGACTTTCATCACTTGCAATCTCTCCAGCCTCGATCATATAGCAGGCTACGTGTTCGACAGTAGATTCAGTAGTATCTCCTAAAAACTTGGTAAACTTTGGCACCTTCGTCCTAGGAGGTAATTCTGACTGGAGAATATAATCTATTATTGGTGACGTGTAGTTTGGTCTAGTAAAACTGGAATTTTCCCCATTTCGAGCCATTATTCTTTCGACCATGGCTGCTAAGTTATTATCGACAACTATGTTATTACATCGAACTTGTTGTATAATATGGTCAGCATCTTCGTTTTAATTCACCATAGTCACTTCTAGTTCTCTGTCTACCAAATTTGGTGCTTGGTCCCTAGGCAGTTCGACCCTAGGAGGTTCGAGTCTAAGGGGTTCGACTCTCCCTTGATTTTCTAGATTCACCTCAGGTACGTTTCCTAGGTTACATCGTGGAATGTTTTCCACCACGGTCGTGCCTCTAACAGAGGCTGGTACACCCATAAATTATGCTAAGCGTGCCAATTGCACTGCTAATTGTTGGTTAGTCTGGGTAGTATTCTGGACCAAAGGCTGAAAAATTTCCCCATAGTTTGGGATAAGGTCTGTACCATTTGCAGGTTGCTCTTACCCATTAGTTGTCTTAAATAAGCTATAGAAGTATTTGTCAGATTAGGACCCTGAGTGGAATACCCCACACCCACACTTTAACTGTTTCGACCAACATTTATCCTAGATCCTGATCCTTGTAACGGTGAAGCCATCACATTCTCTGAGAATACTGGGGGAGCGTTTTGGAGGCCTTGTATTACTGACGTTGGCATTCCATATGGTGGGTTTCTTGGTAATGGTTGTGAAAACCCTGGAGTGGGGTAATGTCTAAACTTCGAAGTTCCCCCTGGCAGAGTTTGGGGATTGGATGCATGTGGCCCAACATACTCCAAAACAGGATGAGTGTAGGCCTTTATATCTGTCGACCCTGAACCCACCACTGATGGCACTGGTTCAGGCATAACAGGAGGCGGTATATGTTCTCCTGTCGAAGGGACTGAGGGTGGAACTACATCATTCCTAGACATGTCTCGAGGATTAGTGTTGCTAGGCTAGGGATTAGAACAATTCCCTCGAAGGTTTGGGTTATATGGTCTTTCTTCGTTTATAGCGGCTATTTTACGACTTCTTAATAACATGCAATGAAGTTTTCTCAAAGACAACACTATCAACTGCAGTTTTCCAAAACTTTTACAAAAATCTTAATAAACTTTTAGCACTGTCCCACTGGGCGTGCTAATTTGTTTCCCGTGAAAATTGGGAAACAACCGCTGATCTTCCAAATCTAACTTTGGTGACTCACATGTGCTAAATTTTAATCTATGGAAAATATTAAAGATTGAACATCTCGGCAGTGTTTATGAATAAAGGGCAATTGGAATGTATGGTTCGACAATAATGTAAGAATGTTAAATTGAAAGAAAAAAGGGTAAAAACTTTAATAAAAAGGATTAAAAGAAACAAAGCGTAACGCTAAAGACGTAACTTGCAGAAAATTAGTGTTTTTACATTACGTACATTCTCCCAAGACTCTTTTCTCTACACACGGATACTTTGAGTAAATTTGGAGTGAGTTGTACAATAGTAAACACAACACCCGAATCCTATTGCTAGAACCCCTTATTTATAATAATAAAAGTAACTGCTGTTAATTTTCTAAGATAATCAACCCCTGACAAGTGTCGTGTTGCATGCATTCGCCTCTTGGATGTGCGCCACTTGTCTCGTTCAGGAATGAGAAAGCATAACTACTCTCCCCTTTATTTGAATTTCAAATTCTGCTAGTATTTGGCCTGCATTCTCGGTCGAAGGTGACTTCTTTAATCTTAGAAATATTTTCTAAGTCCCAAAAGGTCTTCCTTTCTTATGCGAATGCCTTCAATTTCATTTGTTGTAAAGACCAAGTCGAAGGCTTCTTCACATTACCTCGAGAAATCAATATTTTAACCAAAAAACTCTAATTTAATACGGGCGTCGAATTTGTGAGCTAATAGATGGGGAATAATGATTTGTGATTCAAGTTAATTAATAGCGTGATATCCAATTCTTACCGCGACAAATACGTATTTCCGTTTCGAAACAAAAGTTCAACTTGAGTTGGAAGCGCGTTACAAAGATCGGTTGAAGATATTATGAAAATGTGCAAGTGTCCACCAGAATATTGAAATGTAATATTGCATTTTATGTTGAAATCATCATTGTAATGTTAAAATCATCATTGTAATGCATTTTATGTCAATTTCATTTTGAAAAATTACTTTTCTATTGAGGTTGATCCTGATATGGCTCGAAAATGCAACTACGGAATTATTCCGAAGATAATAGGGTGTAACTTAGAATGATCTTCGTTGAGTGTATGCTGAGATGCGTCCAAAAATACATCTCTAAATACGGGAAGAAATTTTGAAAATTTACATAGAATAGAAACACTTGGGGTGCCATAAGAAATTCTCACTTTATTAACATTAAAAATATGTTTGACTATAATATTTTGCAAACTTTATTTTGAGAACTGTTTGCAATTTTATTGCTAAAAGAGATTTTTGGATTTCAGATTTGCACTTTTGCATTTTCATTAATGGCACTTACTTAATAGATGTTCTTTACCTTTTATGTTTGAAAAGTGGCATAATGCACACTCTAAACATATTTCACCCATATAAATTAAATTACCATTATGTTTGGAATCTCAACTAACTCTTATGGAGAGTCCAAATATAACTAGTTTTTATTCAAAACAAATTGTATCTCCATTGTAAAAACCGGTCGGAGAAGACCAAAGTAAGTAATCCAAAGGAAGTGAACCGTAGTTGCAATGCCTGATCTCTCTACTCATATCAACACAGACAGAAAGATAAACAAAGACCAAGTCTTGGAGAACACAATAATTTTAACAGAATTTGACAAACTTACTAGTGACTAAAGATGAACAAAGAGTAGACAATTGAGCAATCATTATGAACGAAGCTTTCTTAATAACCATTTCTTCCTCAAATTAGAATCCAACGCCAGAAACATCCTTGCTCTTTTTTCGTCTTCCAAAAAATCACATGCGTCTAGTATCAGTTCGTCGTCCAAGTCCGGTATAGCCTGAAGCACTGTCATAACATTGCCAACAGAAAAATTATCTTCTTTCTTAGTTTTTTTGGTTAGTGATGTAACTGCAACTGCCATATGTTTCAAGGCAACTGACATGCCTTCGTTATAGTTGTTTCTTGCTTTCTTAGGTACATTCAAGGCTGGGGAGGTTTTAGTTTGATGTCTTTTTTTCGGAGTAGTAACATTTTTTCCAACACTTGTAAGCAACAGTTCTTTATCTGGATTTGTCGGAGGCTGAGTTTTCCTGGTAGAGTTCCTTTCACCACCTTCTTTATCTGCATTCATCAGAGGCTGAATTTTTCTGGTAGAGTTTCTTTCACCACCCTCGTTATCTGCGTTCGTCAGAGGCTGTGTTTTTCGGGTAGAGTTCCTTTCACCGCCTTCATTATCAGTATTCATCGGAGGCTGAGTTTTTCTGGTAGAGTTCCTTTCACCGTCTTCATCATCTGCATTAGCGAGAGGCTGAGTTTTTCTGGTAGAGTTCCTTTCACCGCCTTCATTATCTTCATTAGCGCGAGGCTGAGCTTCTCTGGTAAAATTACTTTCAACGCCTATTTGCAATATTGCATTATGGGGAGGCTGAGTAATAGTATCTCCAGTAAAATAGTTTTCACCATCGATATGCAATGTTTCATTAGGGAGAGGCTGCACAATGTTATCTCTGCTAAAACTATTTTCACCACCTACATGCAATGCTGCATTATGGAAAGGCTGAATAACGGTATCTCTGGTAAAATTGTTTCCGCTGCCTAGATTCAAAGTTGGGTTAGAGGGTGGCGGAATATCTCTGATTAAATTATTTTCACCGTCTATATGTAATGTTGCATAAGGGAGAGACTGAGAAATAGTATCCCCAGTCATATTATTTTCGCCACCTACATGGAATGCTGCATCAGGAAGAGGTTGTGTATCTTTGGCAAAATTACTTTCATTATTTGTATGCAATGCTGTGTAAGGGAGAGGCTGAGTATCCACGGTAAAATCATTTTCACCACCTATATGCATTGATGCATTAGGGTCTGGGACAGAGTTCTTGTCGCCATGAGATTTCTTTTCAAGATTTGACTTGCAATCTGCAGGAGCTTCATCGCGACATACAATGCACATGCCAGAATAAAAAGGCATGCTTTTAATTCTGTAAAGCCGGAACTTGTGATTTACCTGCAATTATGAGCATGTGAATGAAGTAGAAAATAAAAACTAAACTAACAAAAAGAAATAAAAAATAAAAAATAGAAAAAGATTAAGAACAGTTCATACCCTGATGCATTTTTGCCAAGTTTGGTCATCAGCGACAACCTTGTGTTGTGTCTTGTCCCAACTTAAACCTTCTTTGCCAAGGAGGGCATTTATAGATGAATAATGCCTCCTTAGGACATTGAAACGGTTTTTCAACACAACCTTACCGTAATGACATCCAAATCTATCATTAAATGACTCTGCCATGTCTCCCCATGTTTGCCTCGTGAATGTACGACCAACCTTGTTCCCTTTACGCACCTGGTCCAACATAAGTTCAATAAAAACTCGGTCCATCATTGGAGACCAGTCTATTTTACTTTGACTATGAGTAAGGGGAGTCTGATCATCCACTCCCTTACCGGTGCTAGTGTGGTCATCCCGTTCTTTTGAAGCATTTTCTGAGTAAAAATTAAAACCATTCAAACATTATGAACGAATTTGTTGAATAATGATTACAAGGAATTTCACTATACAATACTACCTTCGTTCCTTCATTCCTTTATATAAGAGACAACTCATTTTTGAGGTTCATTGAATAACCAATGTATTTGGTCGGTTTATAGACTAGATACATTGATTTTCAATGAACCCAAAATGTGAATTGTCTCTTATATAAAGGAACAGAGGTAGTAACATTTAATGACAATTTTTTTACCTTCGTATTCAAAACCTTCGTCAAAACATGAAAGGCTGTATCTCCCATCAGCAACTGCGTGACCATAGATTATGCACAGATCATTATAACACGGAGCAACTTTTTTTCTGAAAACTTGAGCATCAGGGTGGGCCTGCACCACAAAAACATGTCAATTGTAATGTAGAGGTTCCTCAGAGGTTTTGAAATATTTGACAACAGTGTGTACCTTAATATACTCTTCCCATGTTTTATCATTAGCAGTGATCATGTTTAGTGTCCCGTCCCATTGGAATCCATTTTGATTAACCATCGCTTTTATTTCATAGTATTGCTTCTTGAATCGCTTGTAACGGTTCTTCAACACATCCATATCATACTTGAACCCAAATTTGTTATTAAATTGTTCAGTCATGTCCACCCAGGCTAATCTCGTAAAAACTTTGCCCGTTTTGTTGCCTAAGCGAACATGGGACAGCAAAAGCTCGAGAAAATATCGGTCTTGAGATGGAGTCCAATTAGCCCTCGAGTTGTCCAAATATATCGATGAATCATCCCCCATTTCATTACCTGTAAGTCAAGTAAATTAAATTCTAAAAACCATGGAGATCTTCCCTTAACCAATAAGGGAAACACTGTCAGATATATTAGTTCTACATTATACATCAAAGTCTACCTTGCATAACTTGATCCATCGCTGGTACAAACAAATGTCAAACAAGCTTGAAAGAAAACTTGTTCTCAATGCATCCTCCTTTCAGCCAACCTGACCATAAACAAATTCCAACATAACCAAGAATAAGCTACCTTGAATTACAAGTTATTTTCATAAGCTACCTTAAATAAGCTAGAATGGAATGGAGTGGTAAATAATGAGATTCTATTGTTTAGATTTGCAAATAATGGATGGAGCGGAATGGAACATGATGGAATACATTCCATCTGATTTGGTGTGGATGCAATTGAATGGAATTTATATTCCATTCTACTGCGCTCCACTCCATTCCATCATGTTCTATTTGTCCCGTTCCACTCTAGTCCATCAATCCATGCATAGCCATAAGCTCTCTCAAATGGCTTCACAAGTGCTTATGCTAGTAATAAGATCAAATAAGCCAATCCAAACACTCCCTAAGTCAAATTATAACATATGCTTCCTCTAAATTGATTGGTACCTCAATAATAAGATCACACTATCAGACCAATTAGAATTGCCTCCCCGGATCTATAATTGTCTTAAAAAGTCCAATATACATACAGTATTTGAATTTTTGAATAAGAGTCAAGAAGACCTTATGAAAATTGAACATTTTCGCGTAGAAGATTTAAAAAATATATTAAACATTTTACAAATCGAAAATCATTTTGTATAAATTGAAAATCCATTGGATTTTTTTGAATCTTTCATTTTTTTTTTATTTATTTATAAAAAGAAAGCTTCCAATATTAAATTTGAATCTTTAGCACAAATCAATATATTCAGAATAGGTATAAAATGAAATAGATGGATCTAGGGATTAGTCATTTCAAAGTGAATTTTCCCTAGATACACAATACACATGTCATGATATTTTATTTCACAATAGAATCAATTTAAAAAATCCCTAACGTTAGGGATTTTTCAATAGGTAATGTTGCTCCAATACCCAACCAAAGAGCCACGACGGTACCAATCAAAAAGACGGTTGTTGCTACTGGACGCCGAAATGGGTTTTGGAACTTATTAACATTTTCCAAAAAAGGTATCACAGTGATCTTAGCCCTAATTCACCACAGAGAAAATTCTAATGCAGAAAGGTTCTAATTTGCAGTTATAAATCTCTACACAAAAACAACTTGTTATATACTCTTGCAATTGCAACATTACACCAACCCCAATTCCTTCCTTTTCTTAGAAAAAAAACAATTTCACTTCATGCCCATTAAAGTTGAAAGTGTTTTCATGACTCAAATTATAAAGTTCGAATTTTTAGAAGCCAAACGAGGAAAAGTCTCGTTCGGAAAACCGTCAATTTCAATCTTCCTAATCAACTTCGACATTGATAACCGAATGCGAGAACGATTGAACCCTAATTCAGTGTTTGGATGCGGAGGAAAATAAAAAGTAATTAAAAACGAAAAGAAAGAAAAGAGAAGTTATTGGGACTTACATAGAAGAAGAAACAAACAGCGGCGAAGGATATAAGATGTTGGAGAAATGAGAAGGAAGGAAGCCAATAGACAATTCTAAAGCTCTTGTTTGGATACACTCCTCGTCTTATTCCTACATTTTATTTGTTATTATATTTATAATTAAAATTAATATATATATATATATATATATATATATATATATATATATATATATATATATATATATATATATATATATATATATATATATATATATATATATATATATATATATATATATATATATATATATATATATATATATATATATATATATATATATATATATATATATATATATATATATATATATATATATATATATATATATATATATGAAAATAACGAACTAGCTTTGCTTGCTGTCTTTTGAGGATGACCGTTAGATGTGTTTTACGATTGAGATATCTTGGGATCGTAGAAATAAATATCTCCACTCATTGGAAAAATTCTTGATCGAACGGGTTCTTTGTTGGATTGCAACCGAGATGATGGTCCGGTAGGCTTAGCTCGTCTGGAATCTTTTCGAATGGCTCAGAACAATCGTCCCCCAAGTCATTGTCGATGCATGAATAGGTGGGGGCTTGTTATTATGATCCCAAATGACGACCATCTCCTATTGATTTAAGACGAGCGGGTGAATATTGCTTCAATTCCTTAAGAAATTATGCATTAAATACATCATACTTCAAACGTCTTTTCATAGGCATCATCGTGAGGGTTCTTGGGAACCTAAATTCTTAAGTGTTATGTGTGAAAGATTTAGATGTGTTTTGTGAAGTATTTTTTTCCTTCTATAACAGAATTTATTTTGGGGGATATGTATTTTCTTCCCTTTTCTAAATCTTCTCTTTAATTTGTCAGTTTCATTGTTTCCTTCTTATATTCCACTCCCAGTAACTACATGATTAGTGCATTATGAACAAGAAATCACATAAAATCATTAGTAAATCTCAAAAGGATACTCCATCTTCTTGGATGGATTCCGTTTACTCTTCCACTGCTTATGTTTTCGCCAAACAAGACAGTTTTGATGTTGTTTCTATAGAGGTGGACTTGTTTTCTGACTGGGGAATTCAAAATCCTTATGAAGACAAAAGAGTATGTGACAAATATGAAGCTTGCGTCATTCCTTTTTACAAATGTGATTTATCCATCATGGGTATTCATCTTCCTTTTTCTGCTTTTGAGTTAGAGGTATTGACCCATCTAGCATGGTTCCCTCGTGATGGAAGGCAATAAGTGATGTATCCTTGTTGAAAAACTTGAACGAATCCCTTACTTTCTTGCACCTTTTAGCATAAATTGACTAACAAATGGTCCAAAAGACATTATGTTTAAATGTGTGTAGGATTGCAGGAGTTGGCAAAATAAATCAACAAGTGCAACCAAAAGAAAATCCATGCCATGCATATTTCGTATAGCGAACTTCGCTATGCGAGACAAAGCAAACAAGTAGCAAGCAAAAATAGAATCAAAATGGCCAGAGATCGCTTTAAGCGGAAGAAGCGAGGAAAAGCAAAGACTTTCGCATAGCGAAACAGGGCGTCGCATAGTGAACTTCGATATGCGAGACAAAGGGAACTCAAAACAGAGAGAGACAGAATTTATCAGAATTTATCTTATCCAGTTCACTTGAAGCGAGTCAAAGCGGAGGAAGTTCGCATAGCGAACATTACGTCGCATAGCGAAAGGCGCGTAACGAAACCAAAGCAAGACAAACAGAGATAGATAAAACAAAATCAAAACTTGCCAGTTCGCTTGAAGCGAAGCAGCAACAAAGAGGACTTCGCTATGCGACCAATACTTTGCATAGCGAAGTATGGCGGTTTCACAAAGGCAGTTTGGAAATGCTTAGCAGCAAAGGAAGCTGACTTCGCTATGCGATTAAGTACTTCGCATAGCAAAAGTCCCCTGTTCCAACTAGTATAAAAAAGGGTACAACATAGTGTTGAAAGGCATTTAATTTTACTTTTTAAATTGTAATAGAACATTTCAGTCCTTAAGAAGAAAAGTTGAGAAGAATAGAGGGGAATTCACATCAAGAATCGAGAGATCATCCTTGATTCAAATTCATCTTCAATTCTTCCTTGTTGTACAAGTTACCATGACAATGGATAGCTAAAGCTCTTCTCTTGTTAGGATTGAAAGGAAACCACCGTAATTGTATGTATTAACGTTACTTTCATCTTTTATTGAATATTGTTATTCACAATTATCGTTTTAATCTTTGTTTATCATTGTAAAACCAAGTGAATACGAATTGTTATTGAAAAATACATTTGTATTAAAGATAAAGATTATTATCAATTGGACACTTCATTCTAGACATATAACTAAAGAGTTTAACGTTCATATAATCGGTACTTAATGCAATTGTTTAGTTTACTCGATCAGGAAATCATCGGTTGAACTAAACCAATTGAATCCTAAACAAACATATATATATATATATATATATATATATATATATATATATATATATATATATATATATATATATATATATATATATATATATATATATATATATATATATATATATATATATATATATATATATATATATATATATATATATATATATATATATATATATATATATATATATATATATATATATATATATATATATATATATATATATATATATATATATATATATATATATATATATATATATATATATATATATATATATATATATATATATATATATATATATATATATATATATATATATATATATATATATATGTTATTGTGAGCGAAGTAAATGAAGATAATATGAAAAACAAGTTCTTTAAAAGAGAAATTGACCGAAAGCATATGTGCACGGTGGTGGAATTTCAATCCTAACAAGATCTCTATCAATTGAACTTTAATTTCACAACAATTTATATTTTACTGTCACTTTTGTTAGATGACGGCATAGATCTAGAAGGAGGGTTGAATAGATCACTTATTAAAAACAGAGTTGACGCTTATCAATATTTGGTTTTTAAAAGGTTTTAAGTGGAAGCGACCGAGGAACTATATTCGTCTAAACGAACCTTTACTCAAAAGATTAGATATACGTAAAGCCTATGAAATCCGATAAAGACGAGATTTAGAATCACTAATTTGAACACACATCAACTAGATTTTGTTCACTTTAAGGTTGGACAGTTTCCAATGTGTGTAAATAAAACCCAATTGAAAAGACATCACAAGTGTTTGTGTTCATGCAATTAGTCAAACAATTGGTGTGCAAGGCACTTCAAGTGAATTTTAATACGTGAATGAAGTGTTATAGTATTCAATTACAATCAAGGATTGTAATAAGGTTTCTAAAATTGGTTCAGCAATACACGCACCAGAATTTTAATTAACTAAATTGTTTACACACAAACTCAAAAATTCAGCAATGGAAAAAGTAAAGAGAGAACACCAATTTGTTGAGGTAGTTCCCCCGTTGTCCTCGCTCGGAGTACGTCTGCCCTCAATTCTAAAAATAGAATTGAGACATGTACATGTATACCCT